TTGACACTGAGGTCGATTATAGTCATTACTATACAGATTGCACTACCACTACATTCAACCGCACTCGTGTAGAAACTCTGACAATAAGCTTCACGAAGTTCTGCAAAATACACTTGACAAGCTTCAACTCTGTCAGAGAGCAATTGGTGCCGAATTTACTAGCCAGATTGCCCTTCGCACTGCAGTTATAAATACCTGCCGTGGTGCCCCTTAACTGAAGATTGCTCTATTCAAGCCTACTATCGAGTGTGAAGCCCTTTTTTCGGATCTACGCTCATCCGTAACAACTTACTCCAACCGAGAGGCCTCGCACAAGTTCCTGACCGCTGCCGATACTGGAAACGATCAGCTTTATACTGATCACCGCTACCATTTTAACGATAAAGACACCTCCCGAGGACGAGGACCTCGAGGTCAACTGGGCAACAACCGAGAACTAGCTCTTGCTCAAGGTCCAAAAGTGCGGAGGTTGCCAATTGACTAGAAATTCAATAGACTAAACTAAATCAAATTACAGCTTCCCTCGAACAGAACCATCCTTCACAAGTCCTCGTTCGATCATACACTTAGAGGATCCCTTTGCTCCTTACTATCTCCCATCTCTAAACAACAAAACGATGGCTATTTGCGGGTGTACGGCAGCCGCGAAAAATCGCAAAAAACACTGGGTGCGGAGCTCTCCTAAAACCGAAATTAGGACTAAATCCGAAGACATAGTGATCCTTCTGAAGCGTTCGAAGAGGCTGGCCAGCTGGGCGCTGCAGACTTGTGTGTACCTCGGGAAATTCACACTCTGCCTTTCTAGCCTCCTTCCAACTCCTTCCCGAAGGTCGTGCTGAAATTCCAGAAAAGTCTGGACAGAGCGTGATTGCTGTATGGTAGCTTAGCCTAGCTTCTTTTGTGCAGTACAGGGCTCTGGGGAGTGCTGTTACGGGATCTAGTGCACAAACTCCTGCCGCTCACTGTAGGCGGCCCATGTGCAATGCTGATCTCACGGTCCGCTTAGTCATACCCTTGTAAAAATATCCAGCCTTTCCCGATGCTCTTGTTCCACTTTATAATTATTCTTGCGTTATCATTACTTAAGGAAATCAGAATGAACTTCGTATACTTTGTTTGATCGATTAGATCACGACCACATTCCGTCACAAGTGCCGTCGATTCATCGACAATAGAAGTCCTCGTAGCTAATTTGCCTAAACCTCGGTCCTGGCGCCCACAAACGCTCCCAAGTTGAAAACCCCTCAAAAATGACAGTCTAAGCATAGTCTTCAGAGACCTCTTTCCCCTCTCGCTTCACATCTCAGCCGCCTGTTCTTCCTCAAGTTGTTTGTCCCATTAGAGCAACAGTCCCCCCACAAGCTATGACCCAGGCTTTGTATTTTCGACTTGATTTCCTCCTTGCGGGGTAAATTAATAGCGTCGTAAATTTGTGGTGAGTGATGGCTGAAGATTAATGGGGCAAGCTACTGTACGCAATTGGAGTAACTTCTTTTTTGGTCGTTGAGGCGAGATAATGCGTGGTTACAGATGGGTTGAGGACTCAGATGATAATGAAGAGAGAGACACTGTCGAGAAGTTGTCAAATGGAGATGTGTATGAGGTTGCTTTCGACTTCGATTGGGATGCGATTCTTCTTGGCTATCCCAGATATGCAGAGTATACTGAGCGATCACACCGGCACCACTGGAAGGTGAAGAATTCGTCTTTGCCGGCTTGAATTTGAAATCTTTTACGTGACAGGACGAGCCTAATATCTAGTTAGACGTGACACGGATAGATGGGCTCTGAGAGCTCATTGATACTAACATGCCCGGCATTAAAGCCATAGGCGACAAAAGAAATAAAAAGGAACAATAAATGCCTGAGTTACGGTGCCTTGCGCTGCATCCCTATATTCCAAGCACATCCCCTCCCGAGTTGGAATCCGTCTCAGCGTAGTCACCTCCCACCCCGTTCATTCTTCGGCAGACTGTAACATCTGCTTGTAAATAGGAATTAGGAAAAATTCTGCCATCCCTTCTCCCCAATATTCTCCTTGGCTCCGGGCGGGGCAATTTTCTCACAGCTTCTCCAACATTGCAAAGCAGGTCGGCAATCTGAAAAATGTCAGGGCCTTTTCTCTCGGCCGCAAACGCATTTCAGATCTTCATGTTCGGGGTTGAAACGTCGATGGTAGTCGGCGTAAACCCCGTGGCCAGTCCTTGCCTCAATTAGGCCGTGGTACGCCCATCTTGGTAGAGCCAGTTCCGGTGACTGTTTACAGCGCATGAAGAAGTCTAGGTCTTTGTATAGTTCCGGCCGAAACTTCTGCCACCACTCTTCCACGAGTTCTTGACCCCGCATTTTATCTAGTCTCCCTAGTGCCGCAAAGGTTAGATTTTGAGATTCTCCACTAAGCAAAGCTGTGGTTAGTGACCGGTTATTGGGAGCTCCCAAGGCTGATTTGGCCAGCTCATCGACCTCTTCATTGCCTTTGATCCCAACATGACCAGGTATCCAGCGTATTTCCACAAGCTTGTTTTGTCTCAGTAGTGAAAACTTGTTGGAAGTTTTCAAGGATCCCTAGGAGGAAATATCTCGAAGAGCAAGTGTACAATTTCGGACAAAATTTTGTTGATAGTTGTATAGGATATGGAACGCTCGGATCCCCGAGGTTTTAGTGATCCCGAACTCTCAGTGATCTAGCAACAACCAGCCACTCAATTATCGCAAGGTAGCATTTCCTAGCCACTGCATTCCAGATGCCACTGAATCTTATTTCGCCCAACTGAGCTTAATCATATTCAATCGAATCAACTCAATTGATCTTGATGATCATACCAAGAAATCTAAACCTTCATATATACTGAGTCTAGATTTCCCACAAAACTTGTCCACCACTGCCTGCGAGGAACTAGATCTTCCTCTTTCGAGCGCCCGAGAAGCCGCTTGATTGTGCAGAAGAATGCGAACCGGTAGGTCTTCTCCCACTGTTAGTGCAGTCTCCAAGGCTTTGGTGGCGCCTACAACCTCCGCGTCGAATACCTCTGCTCCGTGAAGTGGACCGGAACCACCCCCACTTCGTAGTCATAGACTCAGTAGGGACTTGAATTTGATTCTATTCTATTCTAAAATTACTAGTTTGGGCTCACTTGTTGCTAAAATGGGTAATAAAAATTCGAATAAAACAGATTCTTGGTCATGCAGAGCAAAATATTCAATAATTTGAAGAAGCATATCCAGCTACAGACACAGCGTTGGTGGATACGATCAAGATAGACTCTACTGTTGCAAAGTAAGGTGCTGGCTCTTTTTTTTTTAAATCATTTAATGTGTATTCAGCTATCTAGCTATGACACATGACTGGTGTTATGAATACATATAGGATGACTCTTTTGACGTTTGAGACACTCATACTCTGGATTTTATTCGCAAATACCACTCTGAGGTATGTTCGCTTACACAAATAGTCGACCCTCCTCCGTTAGTACCCACCAAAGGGAATTTCAAACCCTTTGGTTGTCCAAGCATGCCTTCTTCGTCCATGAATACCAGCGCCGCGAGAAATATGATTGTGTTTTGCTGGATTTGAACCAGCGATCTACCGTCTCAAGTGGGATATGTGTCCAAGCTATCCAGACTCTACTTGGCAGACCGGCCAAGACGATGTACCACCGCACCATCCAACCATGGCGATGTTTATAGTGTCGCCTGCACTCTCGCGGTCGAAGACTTGGCACGCACAAAGCTCAATTGTAAAAACTCCTTTCCAAATTTCCAAATTCCATGCCCGTCGAGACTGTATCCAATCCTCTGCATCATCTTATCAACTTGTCCTGATCCCTCTCACATCCATCCCAAGGAATTGTCTTCTAGATTTGTGCGCCACGCTTTGCTTCCTCCGTCGGGTGTAAATGTCAGCGTGGGCGTGTATCTGGCGACCAGCTAAGGCCAGAGAAAGTCGAAAAGAGGTGTGGTCATTGGAATGAGGATGTACTAGGTCGTACTTGTAGACTTGATGAGACTTGGTTAGGAATCGATTTCGTTGGGAGTGAAAGATTGATATGGTGAAGTATTTTGAATCATTGCCTCGTGGGCCAACTTATTCGGTATTGCGAAGTTTGACTGAACTTGGCTCTGGGAGAATTTTTCACTCCCAGGTTCGTAGAGGACACCGCTACAGGTGTTCAATCTTGCCCTTCCCTTCGAATATTAAACAAGAGGCGGGAAGACAGATTACTCGCTCCGTTTAGGACATGAGTAGAAGACATAAGTGTTGGCTCTACAGAGCTGGATTACTCGTGGACTATGAATGGTATATATATGACTGGATATGTGTATTGTAATTTTGTTAAGTCTTTATTAGTGTAACAATTGTTATTTCATTTCAACACCAATGACAAGTGTCAGCCTTTGTCGTCCGCTAATGGTTGTTTGAGGCTGGTAATAATAGCCGTGACTCGAAAGTCAATGACGTCAAGCGTGGTGTGATTGGGTACAGAAAGGGGTAGCATTTTCGATTTATTCTGTAGATTAGAACAATTAAATATCCTTTATTTAGGACTTGCTCTGGTGTCAACCAGCATCAATTAATAAAGCGACAACTTTACTAATATAAGATTTGAATCATTCCCTTACCGGGAGCAGAAGTATGAAGCGGGTTTCGATATTTTCCAGCCAACACTCCATAACTCTCGTGTATTTTGAGAGGGTTATACATTTCTCTACATTATATTTGGAGTTTCTGCTCGGACGGCATGTTGAGGCACCGTCGTGCTTGGTGCATAAATGTGAGATGCCAAAGTCTTCAAAGCACTATGTACCCAGGTTAGGATTTCAGTTTGTAGTCACGTGGGTTCTCTATACAAGCAAACATGACTAAGCCTAACCGCCAAAATTTTAATATATTTCATGACAATAATAAGTAACGTGAGGTTGAATCAAAAAATTATGATTAAGTTTCTTCATTGATTAGCTCGGACTCGAATACGGACAAAGGAAATGCATCCAGTCCACTCATGTTGACATTGTACTCCCACTTACGCGCCAGAACGCTTCAAGGAACTTTTCAAAAATTTCAAATCCGACCACGCAGCTGCCTCTTTCGAAGACAGATATGTACACATCAGTCACTATGTGCTCGTGTATCAAGCCAAACGTTAGGGGTTGAGATGGAATTTTCATCAACGAGAGCTGATGGCCTATCAAATGAGCTAATTCCACTCCCGCCCCTGACCCTAAAAGAAGAGGTTCCACAATATCCAACTGCAATCCTGCAGGTCCGTAAAAACATGTTGAAATTTGAGAATTGTGTGTTACTCACACGGATCGGCGGATTCTACGAGCTTTACTTCGAACAGGCTGAAGAGGTCGGGCCACTGTTAGGAGTGAAAGTTGGACAAAAAAAAACTATTGCTGGGCCGGTTTCAATGGTACAAATTCTTTCCCAACTGTGACACCTTACACCCCAGAAAGTGATTATGAGGCAAAGGCAAAATTTACTGACACAAGTAAACATAGGCTGGGTTCCCCTTCTACCAATTAGAACGCTACCTAAAAATTTTAGTAGAAGATCAAGGCCGCTATGTAGCAATCGCCGAAGAATTCCCAAAAACCCCATCTAAAAAGATCAAAGCAGGCGGCCTATTGCACGATCGCCGCGTCACTCGCGTCATAACACCGGGAACTTTAATCGACGAGAATTTCATGGATCCGCTAAGCAATAATTATATACTCGCTATTCATGTTGACGGACAATCTCATATTCTTAAATCTATTAAATCACGAAAATCCCAAAAATCTGGAAAGCTATATCAGTTACCGGTTGGTCTATCATGGCTTGACCTGTCCACAGGTCATTTTTACACACAATACACAGAGTTGCCCATTCTCTCTTCTATTCTAGCTCGTATAGGACCGCGTGAAATCATTCTCGACCAAAGTTTCAAAGATCTGGGTGAACATGATCTTTTCACAGTTCTGGGAGAAAGTTCTCAGCTTATTGCATACACGGACACGCCTAATATCAAAAGTATTTCCGAATGGGCTCCTATGCTTGAGTCTCCAGTCTCTACGCGTGACGCAAAGGAATTTACACCCATGGAAGTTTCTGCTGGAAGTTTGCTCTTAAGTTATCTCATAAATAGGCTCCAAGGCTCGAATCTAAAGCTCAGACCACCAACAAGGCAACTTAACGTGATGGATATTGATAAAAATACGATACGAGCCCTGGAGATTCGCAGTACGATGAGTAACTCAACCGTCGGCAGCTTACTACACACTATCAGGCGAACTGAGACAAAGGGCGGGGCGAGATTACTGGAAACATGGCTTAGTAAGTACTTGTTGATGCAATTCATCGAAATTGAAGCTGATTATATGCACAGGCTCACCCTCGACGTGTCCTATTGTCATTAACTCTCGCCTCGATATTGTTACTCACATATTAAACAATAAAAATTTGCAACAAAAGATTGTGATGTTACTTCGTCGATGCCATGATTCGCATCGTATACTCCAGAAGTTCGCCTTTGGTCGAGGTATCCCCGATGACCTCATGTCGCTTGCTGGCACTATAAAAGCCACCCAGGAGCTCGTATCTGTACTTCACCATGATGCTCAGGGTGAAAAATGCATTGAAGTTATGAAGAGCCGTGTACAACTTGATGGTCCTGAAAAACTTGCCAATAGCATCCTAGATTCAATAGATGAAGAAGGAATTATCATTCGGCAACATATTGTAGAAGATGACGCTGAAAAAATACAAGAACTTGCTGAAACAGTCGTGGCGGCAGAAGGATCATTTGAAGACATCAGCATTTTGCGAAAGGGTACAGCAAGAAAGAAGAAGCCGAAGAGTATCCGGGAGCATTATATTGAGGATGCCGAAACTTGGATTATGAAGCCAGATGCAAGTCCTACACTGACCCAATTACACGAGAAACTAGTAGCTCTAAAGGCGGAGAAACGGAAGTTGGAGGAAACATTATGCGCCGAGCTTGGAGCTACAAGCCTCACACTTCGCTTCACGGCTGGTCTCGGGCACATTTGCCATGTCAAAGGTAGGGATATAAAAATTACGCCACAACAGGTAAAAAATGTGGGCCTCAGTAAGACCACTCGCTCGTTCCATCATCCTGATTGGACAAGCCTTGGCCAGAAAATCGATCAATGTGCAAATCACATGCGTATTGAAGAACAGCGAGTACTCGCAGAGCTACGTGAACAGGTGATTCAGAATATTATCAAACTTCGTCGAAACGCCACAGTATTAGATGAGCTTGATATTGCATGCTCCTTTGCAACACTTGCTGCCGAAAAAAATTGGGTCCGGCCGATTGTGAACTCGGGTACCCGCCACAAAGTTGTTGCAGGCCGTCATCCTACCGTGGAATCGGGACTAGAATGTGAAGGTCGTGGTTTTATCTCTAACGATTGCTTTGTTGGCGAAAACTGCCGCACATGGTTTATTACTGGTCCTAACATGGCTGGCAAGAGCACTTTTCTACGCCAAAACGCACTCATTACAGTCCTTGCTCAAATTGGCTCGTACGTCCCTGCCACTTACGCTGAGATTGGAATAGTTGATCAAATATTCAGCCGAATTGGCTCAGCTGACAATCTTTACAAGGATCAGAGTACGTTCATGATGGAGATGCTTGAGGCGGCTTACATATTAAAGCATGCCACGAGTCGAAGCTTTGTCATCATGGACGAGATGGGTAGGGGCACTACAAACGATGATGGTGAAGCCATTGCATGGGCATGTCTGTGGCACTTGACCAGTGTTAACAAATGTCGGACATTATTCGCAACTCACTTCCATAATTTGAGTGAAAGAGTTGTTCAGAAGGGATTAGAAGGGGTAGGTATGTGGTGCACAGATGTAATCGAAGAGCGAAAAGGAACTGCCACGGATTGCTCATTTCGGTACATTCACAAATTAAGAGAGGGTGTTAACAAGCAAAGTCACGCACTCAAAGTGGCGAGACTTGCAGGACTACCAGAAAAGTCTATAGCGATTGCACAAGAGGTTTTGAAGGAGCAAAACATTATCACATAAATTTTAATTACATAGAAAAATTTTCTACTTGAAAGTCAGTAATTTTTGTAAACCAATATTCGTATAGCTGAAATCATTCGGGATTGTCACTCAGGAAAAAATTAGAGTTGATTATTAATCCTCAGGTACCATCAATTGATCGATGGGATAGGAAGTTACTTTTATTTTTCATCATTGTGTTTAGGGGGAATGGGGAATGTTGTGATGACTAACCTCTAGTTTTGAAAGTTTCGATAATCTTCTGCTCAGATTTCTCCTTCGAAAAGTCATTTAGACAGATGTACTCGGTGTTACAATCAATCGATTTTACGGACAGATATGAAGATTTTATTTTCTGACATGCGTAATAGAGGACATTTATTCGAATAGACCACCGAATCCTTCATCGCCTGATTCTTCCTCTTCTTCCTTTTCCTCTTCCTTGACAGCCTCAGCTGCAGGCGCAGATTCAGTTGCCGCGGCTACGGGCGCAGAGGAAGCATAGGCGTCAGGGTTTGCGATGCGGTCCTTTAATTCCTCAACCTCTGGCCAACTGTATTCGGTCTGGATAGCTATAGATAACAATTTCTTGTAGCCATTGACAAGAGAATGCATGACAGATGGTAATGTCGGGAAGTTGACGGCTAGTGACACTGCAGCGATCGTGGAGATAGCAGCACTGAAGGATTTTAAGAGTTGATCTTCTCCGATGTCAAGAACATTCGGTGGGAATGTGTTGCCTTGATCATAAATCTGGAAGATCCCCATACCGTAAGTGAAAGGGGAGATATTAAGCATGTTCAAAAGTGTTGCCTCGGAGGCTCCAACCTTATTTCCGGCTTCCACAAGTTTTAGCTCAGTAGTGATTTCAATTGTACCTCGAGCAATTTTGGTTGGAACTCCGAGTGCCTGGAAGAAAGATGTTTTTCCCGGCTCCATACCGGTGTTACCTGCAGGTACGAACACGTCAGCAGGAGCAACGGCTCCAGCTCTAGCGGGTGCAGCGACTTTGTTTGCCAAAATCTTGTCACGGATTTCTTTAAGGTCGCTGTTTGTAAAGACAAACCCTACATTTCCCTTGACGTATGGAAGAAGGCATTCGTACTCTGGCGCATCAGAAATAAAACCTTTAATAGCACGACGGACCTATGTTTGATAGTTAAGAGATGTTGTTGTAGGATGTCAAACATGAAACATACCATGGTGTTTTTGCCCATCAAGACTACAGCTTGGCCACGTAGGGATTGTCGGATTTCGTGCATTTGCTGGGAGCTGACATTGTCGACGCCGACAATAAAGATACTTTTGTATTCTTCGAGGAGGCCCTTCAGCTTATCGAAATAGCCAGCTTTGTTTTCTGAGCGACTGCCCCCCATAATTTCTTAGGTTGAAATTAGGATGTTTAAGGGTCAGTTGAAATTTTCAAGTAATTAAAATTGTTACGAATTACAAGTTGTTGCTGTCGAAAGATGAACCAAACAATATTATATGTGTGCAGAGGTAAAATTTCTCGCTTAATAGGAGGTTGGTGATTGGTCAATTTAGTAAGGATCCTAGCTAAATGTACTACACTGCTTCTGCAAAATGCGGCAATTTGTGATCCAACCCTACACTAATCCTTTAAGTAGAGTCGTGGAATCTTGAGATATGTTAGTAGGTGTACTACCATATCAGTGCTTAGAGGTATCTGGCAATCTGCTGTTTGCTGCCAGAGGATCGAGCGTAGACATCATAAGTATCAACGACTCCTCTCACATCTCAACTTGGAACCTTCCACGATTACATAAACAAGGATATACAACTACACAAGCAAGAAGTGATTCCCCTAAAGTATTTGACAAACTTCCCCATCATGAAAAAAATTCTGAGCCAGCTCCTCCAGCCAAAAAAAGAAAACTAGCTTTAAATCGAGATGAAGCAGCGGACGATACCTCAAGACCTGATAAAGATGGAAGTAAAACATATTCGGCCGATGTTCAGGAGAAAGAAACACCAGCAATAACGATTATGGCTTCCACCAAAAATGGTATCTACGTTGCGGCTGTAACTGGTGAAGATAAGACCATTCGTGTTCTCGAAATCGTCCAAGAAAACCAGGTAAAAAGACTAGTTCAAATAAGTCATCGGTGGAGTCATCACTCGTACTCTATCTAAAATTCTAACAGAGGCCAGATCCATGCCTAAGCGTCCATGTGCTATAACAATAACTAATGATGATACGACCATTATCAGTGCCGATAAATTCGGTGACGTTTATTCCATTCCTTTGCTATATAAAGAAACAAATTCGCAGCCACACGAAAACTCGCAATCTCTAGTAGACTCTTCTCAGCCTTTCAAGCCAGCTGCAAGTGAATTAACTATTCATTCTCAACGAAATCGAAGAACACTAGAAAACCAAAGGAAACAAACAGTACAGAAGTCTTCCAAAGCAGGAACTGACTTCGATCATGAACTACTCTTAGGGCACGTTTCAATGCTGACAGATATCAAACTTGCACGTAGCGACCAAAATAACTATATTATCACTTCAGATAGGGATGAGCACATACGCATCTCTCGAGGAATACCCCAGACACATGTTATCGAAAACTTCTGCCTTGGTCATACAGAATTTGTTAGTCGGTTGTGTATACCAGAGACCAGACCCAAGATACTGATATCGGGAGGAGGAGATAATGAAATCATTGTGTGGGACTGGACGACTGGAAGCTTATTATCTAAAACCAACATGATGGAACATGTTTCAGTGTTAAAGAAAAAATTAAACTTATTGGCAAGCGAAACGTCCATAAAGGACTCTTTCAAGATTGCAGTTTCAAATATTTGTCACACGTATACCCACAATGATCTAATAATCATAAGTTACGAAAGGTTATAAACCCGAACCTAACCTAGTACCAGAGTGACTAACAATTTGATCATAGTGTTCCCGCGTTTTTTACTTTTATCTTGACGTCAGAAGATACGTTACAGTATGTTGAGACAATTGAAACAACGGGAAACATTCTCTCCATGGGTGTTACGAAGGAACCCGATCAAATTTCTTCAAGTATCTTTGTTTCTGTGGACAATATTCACACGCCTGGCTCAACTTCTATCCTAAAAGAATCTTACAATTTAACCAACATAGCGGCTCTAAGTAAATTTAAGGTCTCTGATTGTAGGATTGAAAGATTACCACTAGCAATTGAGATACCTACCGACGATATAAATCAGTCTAGCGACAGTAACCTGAAAAATATTTCACGTCTATTTTATGGAATTGAGAGCTTGCGCAAAAAAGGTGACGGACATGAGTAAATTTCCGCTACTTCTGCTCGCTATGGAACGATAAATTTTTATCTATGCAACGCTCAATACTTTGAGATTAAGTTTGATAAAATTTAACGTCTTGCCAGTGCACAGAGGGCTCAATACTTTTAAATACAGTTTTCGCGGGTCTATTCTGATTTAACACGTGATATTTAATTGTCATACTTGTTTGACGACTATGATGACACACAACCTCCTAACATAAGGCTCGGAGTATCTTTAACTTTTTTGCGGCCTCTATTTAACGAAAATAAACCCCAGAGGACTCAACTTGGATATTAACCTAGTGCAGCCATCATCCCGTTGTTGTTTCTCCTTTCTAAATAATACAGGAAATTAACTCTCATGTTTAAAATCGCTAGAAAAATCTCTCTAGTATATATGTTACAAATCTCATTTTTATTTGAGAAAAGAGCTAAATTCAAAAACATTTCATCACTTTCAATTTGTTTTTAAATGTCAATAGGCCGAGTGTCATTGAACCGTGCTTACACAAGATCATTCCCCCCCTCTCAAGGACTCTCCCTTCTTCCTTGATAGTGCCACATTACTATAGAAGGTCGTAGCAAATACTACGGGCCAGGCTCTGTTGGTTCTAGCTGAGATATTTTTGTCTAAAAGGCCTATCCTTATCTCGTGGGCACAATCGTGTATATTTATTTATCAATAATACTTAACGTCGTGCCTGCGCTCAGTACGTAAGTTTTTCTTTTTTTTTGCATCAGATTTTAATTGCGTATGCAGCTATCTAGCTATGACACATTATCAGAGAAGTGTATAATAGATGACTCAATTTATAAGAAGAGCACTTATGCCTCGGATTTAATTTGCAAGTACCACAGCGAGGTTATGGTGGCTTGTTCTTCACCCCAAGTCAACCCTCATCCGTGAATACCTACGCAGTGATAACCTTTTCATGTACTGGTTAGCCCAGTCAAAATTAAACTACTAGACGTGTTGGCGCCTACAGACCCAAGAATGTAAATAAAAGCCAGGATCTTATCATCCTGCGCTCGAAGATTATAGTATAATTGGAGGTCATCCATCCAACGAATCTCATACTATGCAGTTGGTACTAAATGAAGAAAATATTTCACAAAAAATGAAAAGAAGAAATTGATTCAAATCGAATCGTGATTTCGTTCGAATCAGACTTGTCATTGTGCCTTTTCGAAGAAATCTGTGACACGTACCCAATTATTGAATGCATCAACTCCCTCCGCCGAAGCAAGAGCCCAGGATACGCTGGGATTAGAATTCTGTGCCCTGTGGAGCTGGGCTTAGTATTTCCCGAGGTGGCAATGGATAAAGTGGTTAAGGGACTTCTCTTCTCCGCATGGGCAGGTTAGAATGGTGTTTTCATGCTGAAACTGTCGGTGGTAGTCCGCGAAGTCGCCGTGACCAGACCGTGCAGCTAGTAGATATCCTAGTGTGCGTCGCCCTAGACGAGCGAGCTCAATGGTGATCTTGGTATTAGGGCCAATTCCTAGTTCTGTATCTGGAAGGTGCATTTTTTGCACAATAGAGTACGGCGGAAGTCTCATATCGAGCTTTGACTTCTCTTCTTACCCTCGCAATGGAGAGTTCTAAGTGTGGAGCTAGAGCCGCACAGGCGTCTTTAGCGAGAGCGTCGGCAACTTCTTTTTCAAGAATACCTGCGTGGCTTGGCCTGGCCACCATCGAATAGCTACTTCCCCTGGCGTCGTATTTTGGCCGCGTGACCTCCTTCTCCAGCTCACTGCGAGCTTGCGTGAGTAAAAGGTTTTTGCCGAGCTTTACGCTTTTTCTTCTAAATCATTTAATGTGTGAGCTAGACGCTGTGAGCGTATCCAAGAGCAAACTGATAGCAGCCTCCTGGTTGTCGAGGCAGACAGTAACGTTAGAGGCATAATAGGTCAATGGGTTGCGCAGAACTGCCGCTAGATCTTCCGTAGCCCCGGCGATTTCTGCATCATAGACTTCCGCTGAGTTTCCGAGCAGGAGTGATTGTCACCCTATCTCCGGCGTATTATTAATTCATTTTATTGTCCTGTCTGAGTCTATGACTATGTAGGACATGCAGGTCCTCTCTGCCTACAGGCCAGGGATACCTATATCAGTAGTATATCCCCTCCTATGCCTCCCATACAGCTCCCCTCAAACAGTATCACCCCTCACAAGTCCTCATTCGATCATACATTTAGAGGATCCCTTTGCCCCTTACTATCTCCCATCTCTAAACAACGAAACGATGGCTATTTGCGGGTGTACGGCAGCCGGGAAAAATCGCAAAAAACACTGGGTGCGGAGCTCTTCTAATACCGACATTAGGAATAAATCCGAAGACATATTTCCCCTTCTGAAGCGTTCGAAGAGGCCGGCCAGCTGGACACTGCAGACTTGTGTGTACCTCGGAGAATTCACACTCTACCTTTCTAGCCTCCTTCCAACTCCTTCCCGAAGGTCGTGCTGAAATGCCAGAAAAGTCTTGACAGAGCGTGATTGCTGTGTAGTAGCTTAGCCTAGCTTCTTTTGTACCGTCCACGGCGCTGGGGAGTGCCGTTGACTCATCGACAATAGAAGTCCTCGTAGCTAATTTGCCTAAACCTCGGTCTTGGCGCCCAAAAACGCACCCAAGTTGAAAACCCCTTAAAAATGTCAGTCTAAGCATGGTCTTCAGAGATCTCTCACCCCTCTCGCTCCAAATCTCAGCCGTCTATCCTTCCTCAAGATGTATAACCCCATTAGAGCAGCAGTCCCCCATAAACCACGACCCCAACTTTGTACATTATGACTTAATTTCCTCCTTGCGGGTATATATAGCGTCGTAAATTTATAGTGAGTGATGGCCGGCGATGAATGAGGCAAGCTCCTGTTTGCAATTGGGGTGACGCCTTTATCGGTCGTCGAGGCGAGATGATCTATGATTAGGAAGAGGTTGAGGACTCAAAGGAGAATGGCAAGTGCCACATGATTGAGAAGTCGTAAAATTGAGATATACATGTGTTTGCTTTCGACTTTGGCTCGGATGCGATTCTTCTTGACTATCCCAGATATGCAGAGCATACTGAGCGATTACACGGGCACCACTGGAAGGTGAAGAATTCGTCTTTGCCGGCCTATCTCCGGCGTAGGATCCCAGAAAATAAGATAATCCGCACCTGCTCAGTCCTTTATGAGAGCGCCATCTGAAAATACGAATGGGTCTAGGATAAGTCGTGTAGCCTGCGACTGTTTGAAGGGATTTGGTCCCAAGAGTCTACCTACTGCCCCAATTTTGATTTGCTTTTCCTCACGAGGAGACTACCATGGTGGGGGTTCGGTGTCATCGGAAAGTTCTAACGGGATCCTCTGGCGGATCTAGCGCATGCGACACGTATTCCAACGCCTACAAAGAGGGTGATACGGGTCAGCTGCAGCGATTCGAACCGCTGGACGATTGTGAATTCGGGAGAGCTACGTCTGAGCTGGGTCCCAGCCAGCTTTTCGTAGGAGTGCTACTATTGGAGTGGTGCGATTGACTGAGAGAGCTGCCTGAGCCGCGTCGTTCATCCTGTGTTGGACTTGCGAGATGATTTTTTGAGAAGACTCTTTGGAGTACCAGGTCTCTCGGTCTCATAGAAGAGGATCGCAAAGGCGACATCATGTTGAGCTGGTCTTAGAAAAAGAAGACTAATTCCTCGAGTCGTGGTCGAGAGTTTTTTCAAATGACTCGTGATAGCTAGAGACTCTGGCAAGCCTATAGGGTGTGGTGCTGGAATCGAAGAGCACGCTCGAAGAAAATTACAAGCCAGCGAGTGTGTATTTGTGTTTTTTATTGTACTACTTGAGTCTTAGACTATCTAGCACATTGGGCTCCTCTCTGACCCAGGCCACACCTTGTACAGTGCTCCTTGCCCCTTTTGTTACTTGTTAGATCATTGATATATTCCCCTTGATGAATAGCCATTGAGTTCAGTGTTTACCCGCGGAATTCGGCCACCTTTTCCAGGGAACCTTCTACCCAAATAAAAAAATAAAAAAATGGTAGCAGTGGAAACTGCGTGCACGGGAAAAAGTCTCAAAAATCCTGCAGCCCCAGCCAGGCGAGGCCTAGACACCGGGACCACATGAGGTGCGCATATTCATCTATATCTCCCTTCTTTGTAACAGTCGATGCCGACTTGATCCAATCCACCACCTCCGTATCGGGTGCTGGGTTTGCTCCGGAATCTCATCGGATGGCTTTTCCTCCATGATCAAGGGTGTGTGATGAGTAGGGCCCCGACCCTACCATCTGATCTGATCGTGGTAAGCTTCATGAAAATGGTGATAGGGGGATGTGTTGAGAGATGAAGACGATACAGACGGCGAAATCGATTGGGAATCCTCGTCGAAGTGAGGACTTTGTTACTCAATCTCGGCTCTGTAGACTGTGGTGTGAAAGCTGGATGTTCGTAGGGGACACCACTGACAGGTGTCGAGAAAAGTCCCTCAAGCCAGCGAGTATGATCATTAGGCGTTATGACCGTGTCTCCAATATTTATGGATGGTTCTATTGGTGAGCCTTGCTCCCGGTGAAAGTATTGTGGTTCAGTCTTAGGCTATTCGAAACTAATTCAGTTAATCAACCCCCATAATATGGTGCTATCTAATTTCTCCTGGAGTTTACGTGCACATGCGACTAGAGAGAGTGCTGACGCCTAAAGGGCAATGTCATCTGCATAGTCAAAGCGACTGGTAGAGGGGCGTAGAGCTTCTTCCATGGCTAGGAGGAATAGGATTAGAGATACTGGTGAGCCCTACGGTAGACAGCAGTTGGTTTGGAAGGGCGGAGAGGTAGTATCTTCAATAGTGATGATGGATTCTAGCTCTTCCATGAAAGATGCTACTTAGCGAACCACGTTTAATGGCCATCCTTGGCTTCGAAGCCTATGGCAGAGTCTTCCTCTTTGCATGCCGTCGAATGCCCCCCGGACGTCAACAGTCACCACACTAGCTACTTTCTTTTCCGCCTATTTTGCCGGAATATCACAAGCGAGAGCTGTGATAAGGTCAGAAGCGGAGCGAAGAGGGATGGCACTACATTGATCTTTGGCGAGTACCCGATATTTCAGAGCTATGAATGAGAGAATGAAAGTCGCCGTGCTATCGGTCTTTCGAAGTCTTTACCAAGGCACGAAAGTAGAGAAATCGGTCTGTAAGACTTCGGGAGGGTGAGATCTCGGTTTACTGATTTCGGAAGAATAATCACTGTAGATTTCTTGAAGGCTGGTCGGTGTATTCCGAGCTTCTCGCACTGGCGGAAGAGAGCTGACGCCCTATAGCAAATAATTGGCCATACTCGACGGAGAGAATTCGGGGTTAATTCGTCGGATCACAAGCAATATTACTTAAAATATTTAACGTCCTGCAGTTTCCGAAACTTGGAGAGCAGCCAAATTATACCAAATTAGAGAGTCTGGACGCCTGACAAGGGCCCAAAGTAGTTTGGCAATGCAAATACGAAGTGAGCATATGGGGCTTAACTCGTATTTACACAGAAGAAAAGTACCCGGAGTATTAAGTCCAGGTTGTCCATGTGGCTACCAATCACAGAACCCCAAGCATATGATTATGTCTTGCCCCCGATGGTCAAATGGTAGAGCTAAGATATGGAGACGAGCCAAAGATCGGCCCTACGAAGCGATGATAAACAATCCTGGAGATATAAAAAGGATAACTCAGTGGATCCTAAATCATGAGTGGATAGAGCAATTCCAGATAACAAAGGCGCTCGAAATGCTGCTGAGGGAAAGGAAAAGGTCAAATAATGCTTGGGGCGAATAGAGATGATCTGGTTGGTTTACATGGATGGCACCATAGTGTAACTGCGCTTCCTGAAGAAAATATGTGAAAATTATAGACAATAACTAGAAAGGTGTGGGAAGTTTTCACCATAAAGGTTTCCTCCCGTGTAAATATTATAGATTGTAGACACCTGAATGGGTCCATTGCGTGCCAAATCAGAACAATAAAATCAAAATCAAATATTTAACGTCGTGCCCGCACGCAGCACGTGAGCTCCTCACGTGCCGGTTAGCCCAGACAATCGAGTTTTTAAATTTACTTACAATACGGGAGTGTAACTAGGTCACTTGTAAAGGCTCAGGGTTCTGGAATAGGTATTTTAGTTGTAAAGCGCCGTTCTTTTTTTTTTTTTTTTTGCATCAGATTTTAATTGCGTATGCAGCTATCTAGCCATGACACACTATCAGAGAAAATTACAGAATAGATGATTCAACGTAAGGGAAGAGCACTAATGCCTCAGATTTCATTTGCAAGTACCACTGCGAAGTTATGGCGGCTTTTTCTTCCCCCCAAGTCAACCCTCATCCGTGAGTACCCACCCAGGGGAAAATCTCAAAAACCCTGAGTTATCCAGACATGCCTCCATCATCCGTTCACATTTCTCCGCGCGAAATGTGGTCTTAGATGTCTCCGTCCCAAGTGAAGTAGGTGCCCAGGCTACTCAAACCATACCAGAGAACACCACCAGGAGGCGAATCACAACACCTTTCATCGTTTCTTGTTTTTATAGTGTGAGCTGCACTCTCGCAAGCGAAGCCTTGGCGCGCACAAAGCTCAATCCGTAAAACTCCATGCCAAAAATCGAAATTTCACGCCCGTCGAAAACGTATCCCTCTTCTGCATCATCTTGTAAACTTGTCCTGATCCCTCTGACGTCCGTCCCAAAGAGCTCTCTCCCAAAATTGTGCTCCACGCTTTGCTTCCTCCGTCGGGTGTAAATATCGGCGTGGGCGTGTATATGGTGACCGGTTGAGGCCAGAGAAAGTCGACGAGAGGTGTGGTCATTGGAATGAGGATGTACTAGGTCGTACTTGTAGACTTGATGAAGCTTAGTTGAGAATCGGACTCTTTGGGAGTGAAAAATTGACATGGTGGAGCAATTTGAAATTTTGCCTCGTGGGCCAACTTCTTTGATATTGCGAAATTTGACTGAACTTGGCTCTGGGAGAATATTTCACTCCCAGGTTCGTAGAGGACACCGCGTACAGGTGTTCAGTCTTGCCCTCCTGTAAAGCGCCGTTGTTATGCTCAGCTATGTAGTATGGTAGATCTAGTAGCTGGTGCATAGGTAGTTATTATTGCAGCATGGCATTATGGCGTATTAACGAGATTTAGTTCCTATATAACGACATTATAAGTAGTAATGTGTGCAGAATGAAAGATGGGATGTTGATAATGGACCAATGGCATGGCTGTTGAGTTGGGAGCACACTTTGGCGCGCTGCATACGGGATACGTGATCAGTCTACAAACGAACAAGCTTCCCCCAATCTACAACATAACAATTTTCATAGTAACTTCAATTCTGTACATTAATGAAGATATCTCTCCACGAGCTATTTTAGCTGTTCCAGCGCAAGTGTACATTCCTAAATCATATACCAATCATAATAGCCGTAGCTTCTTGCTCCTAAATTCCCCACATAAAATAAACATTCAATTATGGTATTGCTTTCGTGCATGGGCCGAAAGTTCAAGCCCGTCACAAGTACGCTCTGAGAGAAGAGGCGATAACCTGGCTGACATTTGAAAATTAATGGAACTTAAGCTTGGCCCTATAAACTCAATGCAGACAGCTGAAAGTCCTAAAAAATACCCTCAAAAGATGTTGTATGAAATACCCCTGATATTCGTTTGAATATATGTATCTTTTATTTTTGCTTGGCTTCAGATAGTATCGTAATATTATCGATTGGTTGATGTCACTGAAATGATAAAAATGGTACTTAAATTGAATGCTATATAACCATAAAGATGTTACTCCATTATATACACGTCTCTTGTGCTATTCTTCACCCCTTATAACAACGCCAAGGCTACTCAGATCTCAACTGAAACTCTTGGAATTATTTACGTCTCCCACTACCCACACATCAATCAAGTCTATATTCACAATTATGATACATTTCTTAGTTTATACGACGTTCCCTGGCAGAAACTTCCTAATTCGGATAAATTCCCTAAGCATAGATGAATCTGACTCAAAGTTCTCAATGCGTGGTGGTTCGACGCCCTAGTGTTAGGGCTTAAGGAATTCCGATGTACTTGAAAGTGGTTAGTATAATGGGAATCGATGTCTTTTCCCTTGGAGAGCTAATATACCGCGTCGTCTCCAGTCACTAACGTCCTCCGCGGAGACTTTTTCTGAATCTACGCCTTGGTCACCTGAGAATGATCCTTTCTCCCCGACTCCATTTTCCTACAACATACTCCATGTCAGGTATGAACCCCTTAGATGCCTCCTTATGCGTGCCCTTCGCAATTCCCGAAGCGCCGCCCTGTTTCCATCTAACTCCCTAGATGGGTTGATCTTAGCGACAACTCCCAACCCGGGCACAGCCCGTCACAATATGAATTATTTTTGGTTTCTCCTGTCTGTAAAGCTTTCGGAAATCTTCTGGTATTTGCTCGTTGAAAGCAGTTTCTCAAGGAATGTCTGGCAAAGCCCTTCGACGTTTTCAAAGACAGTTCCCGTTAGTTCTTTCCTAAACGCATCTTTGAGTTTCTTCATGGTCTTATCAGCAACTTGTAGTTGCGCCGTCATGTGTCTATGGCGCGCTTCGGGGTGTTGGGAAGAAGATAAGTAATACTGGAGGGGTGAAATAAGCTCAAGTTTGTCTACGAGATTAGGTATATGACTCCAAATACCGACATCAGCAGCTTTAGAAAGAATCGAAGAGAGAAGGGGTATGAAGTGAGACATTTTGATAGCCTCTGATTCTGATTGGTCGTGGATAGACCAGAACCGGTTATACGTATTTTTATCTATGTTCGTGATAATTGCATTTTGTTTCAGCATAAAATTCAAGTTTAATTGGTAGAATAACTATAGGATTGGATATGGGAGTGAGATCAGTGCCTTCTTTATAACCTTCCCTCTGTTGAAGTTTTCAAAGGCGCAATTTCTTCGGAAATTTGAAGTAATTTTTTCAAGAATATACTCAGTGAAGTGTTAGACTTCATTCGTTGATATTGTCACGTTGTCGAGTTGTACGGTGTAGGCGAAAGTTGAAAGACGTTGATTGCGATATGACAAGGCTTTAGATAAGCTATGAAGGATGATGGATGAAAAATGTTGTTGACCTGTAGTGGTATGGTGGTTTTGTAGTACATCATACCATCTACACAAATTCAAGGTTTATTTTATTTTTTAAATCATTTACTGTGTATTCAGCTATATAGATATGACACATGACTAGTGTTATAAATACATATAGGATGACTCGATTGACGTTAGAGACACTCATACTCTGGATTTTATTCGCAAATACCACTATGAGGTATGTTCGCTTACACAAACAGTCGACCCTCCTCCGTTAGTACCCTCCAAAGGGAAATTAAAAGCCTTTGGTTATCCAAGCATACCTTCGTCATCCATGCATACCAGCGCCGCGAGAACTATGGTTGTGTTTTGCTGGATTTGAACCAGCGATCTACTGTCTCAAGTGGGATATGTGTCCAAGCTATCCAGACTCTACTTGGCAGACCGGCCAAGACGATGTACCACCGCACCATCCAACCATGACGATGTTTATAGTGTCGCCTGCACTCTCGCGGTCGAAGACTTAGCACGCACAATACTTTTCAATTTTAGTCCTCCTGCGGATCCTCGTATTGTCGTGTGTGTTAATTTGGTGACCAGCTGAGGCTAAAGAATGTTCGATGAGGTGTGATGACCGACAGTAGCTAAGCCTTCATCCCCATAATAAATTATAATGATCAGAAAGGTAAAATTATTAACATCAGTTAGCTAAAGGGCTAGTGATAGACTGAGCTGGTTATGTCTTGTTAATCGTTCCCAAAGATGTTGGAGGTGTAATGTATCACAACCAAAGGATAAAAAGCGAAAATAATGAGCTACGTGTTACGATTCCTAAAACTTTGCAATGTCCTTCGTTACGCCATTGGATTTAATTTCTACCATGGGTGTTACCTTGTAAGAGCTACGTAGCCAGCCGGCATGTTTAGGTTATACTGCGTTGATTGTTTGACGCCGGGCGATCCAAAAAATTATCCTGTTAGGGTAGTGCTGGTCCTGACCGCTCCCCATTGTACGTTTCAACTTAGTCATGGTTTGACTTTATCAATCCGGCTAAACATATGTGCTGCAAGAAAAAATCCGAAACTCACTCTCATTGCAGTGTTTGTATTTCGTAGGAGATTTTGCTTGATTGCGCGTGAAACTGGTCAACAGTGAATTTCGACACATAGGCGTCGCGATGTGTGACTCTGATTAGATGATCGCTAAGTCATGAGTCACGGTAAAAGGAATATCTGCGGTATTCTCACACTCCCCTTAATTAAGCTCCACCATACGGGCAGCGGCGATAAATATGCCATAGAGCATGGTGAGCTACCCAAGGTTTTCATACACCCTGCCGGGCTGGATGGTGTAGTGGTACACCATCCGGGCCGTTCTTCCAAGGAAATTCTGGGTAGCTTTATTACCTATTCCAATTGAGACAGGAGAAAGCTGGCTCCCATATAGTAAGACCCACACTCTCTCGCACTGGTTTTGTACTTGTAAGGTAACGAATGCACATTTGGATGAAAATGGGATATTCACGCTTTTCTCTAAAACGGATATTCGCAAGAGGGGTTGAACGCTGTAAGGGTTAACCTCGAGTGGTGACAAATGAATTCTGAGTGTAATAGTTTAGAATATATTAACTAAACTTTCTTAATGGTCACGGGTGGTGTGGTGTAATGGTAGCACGTGACGTTGTGGTAAACACGAAAAGCCCGTTTCAATCTGGGTTCGATTCCCAGCACCGCCACGGAAAAAGGAATACCAAATGCTTTTGGCTGCCGTGCCCAAAGGCTGTGATCTTCGGAACTATGAAACATCAAGCCATCACGTACTCACATCCATGAAGACGTACTCCGAAACCACGAAAATTTTGCACTCATATTTTGTTATCTTTGACCTGCACGCAGTAAATTCCTTAATGATCCATGTAAGCAAAGACTTTTTCGATAATAAAACAATATATCGATCCTGTTTTAGGTGATACTATTGAAATGCAGAGTTGCATCTCCTGGAAATAGTTACAGTCATAACGAAAATATTGACATAGCAAAACACGAGCCGCTAGTAATACATGTCAAATATTCATGCAGAGCGAAAATTTTCAAGGCCTCCATAATCGGAAACTACGAACTGAAAAATTGAATGCTTTTTTAAAAATTATTAATCACCTCACACAAGTCTATAAGTTAACGGGCTCTTCAATGCTCTCTCTCGCCTAAGGGGAAAAGACAATAATCTTTTTTTTTCAAAAATTATTCAATACTTTGTTTGGCATCCAAAAAAATTTACGACTATATTCTCCCAAAAGACTGCAATTGGATAACAGTAATTTCCGGCCATTACCCTCTTGTCTTCTTTATCTATACTCTTAGCTACCACTTACGTATGTCTCATCATGGAGAAATCGCCTATGGAAGAACGACCTGCTTCACACAAAGAGATTTTGAAACGGGAAGATATTAGTCAGATTACACAATTCATATTTGTAGTGTTTAGATTTATATCTCGGGCTGAAATTTATTTGCGTCATAGGTTGTTACATTGACCTATTACACACTATCTAAACTGCTAGTGTGTAAAATTTTATGCTTTGTTAACCCTACAGAGCATATTTCTAGCTATTTTATGTCTCTAATTTCTTCATTAAACCATGGTGTTTATTAAGATTAGTTGATTCCTAGATTGGCTCTATTTTTCCGAAGCAAAATGCTTTTAGAAACGGGTTAAGTTAATATTATCATCGACGTATTTGGTTGAATTGTTTTAGCTAAGGAGTCAGTATTACGCTTCTAGGTATGCTACGCTTATAACTGATAGATAGAGGCGCTATACTTAAAGATGTATGAGCCAAAATGAACTCTTTGCGCCAAATTAATTCAGTCCATCACTACTAAACACCCAATGCTGCCTTCAAAGAACAAAATATTGTTTTCACGGTTAACCACTCCTGTTTTATTTCAAGCCTAACTTTCATTGTTGAAGATGCTCGCCAAGGCTCTATTCCTGATTATCTGTGAGCTTCGGTATAAAATAATATAAAATTAATGTAAATAATTTCTGTGTGACTAATCAGTGACTATCGACAGGCAATTGTGGTTGTGTTGCGATGTTGAGTGTGTCTCTTTTATCAAGTTATTCTAAAGTCCTACATATCCAAGAGCCGCAGCTATGCATCAGATAGATATCCCAAAACTAATAATTTTCACGTATAACACTTCTCCGATAAGCTGGTGATAAGAGGATGCGAGGAATTGAAGATTGTTGGAAATTATACTCTGTACGATATTATATGGATAAATATGATGACGTAAAGAAGACTTGATATTTTACAACCATGGGAATATTGGACTTATATATATATCTTAGGGGAGAAATTCCCACTAGTCTCATGTGCCTGTCAAACCTAGTGATGATCAGCCACCTCTCATCTACCATGATGAACCAAGATACACTGTACTACGTAAATATCCAAACGAATATGCAATAGTAGGCGCGATTAGCGCACTCGGGACATTTGTAGAGATAGTCGATCTTGTCGGGAACCTGTGACGAAACAGGTAATGGTTGAGTCCTAAATTCGAGAGTCAGAATTTCCAACAAAGATCCTGTTATAAGAGTTACCATCTAGCTTGTGCCGTGTCGGGCTAGACATTTAAAACCAGGCAGAACAATACTGAAGCCATCGATTATTTAATTCCGAAGTGATAGAAATAGAGATAATTTACTGTAGCCTTATTCTTCCGTAAAATCCAGTTTTAAATATTATGTAATAGCTGGTACGTGTCGAGTTGTAAGCTCCCTATAAATCTCCAATGTTAAGTTGTCATGAGGTCCTAACATAATGGCTAGGTAACATTTTATGAAGCGCGGAACGTGTGTATTACTTGAAAACAAAATTTTTACTGTGTTAAGAAGAAATTGTCATTCGTATGAATATCAAGGAACATTTAATGAGTTATCAGGAGAGCAGGCGTCTGCATAATACTCTTTTCGGAGGATCAATGAGCCGGAATTATTGCAAGGCAGATATGTTCGGTTCTTACTTCCGACAAGCCTTTACCGCGCAAATATCCCGGGCAACTACAGACAAGTGCTAGCGTCTTTTTTTAATTCAGTTTTTTTCGAGATATTGGAGTCATTTTATTGCAACTTTCCATCACTATCTGTGTAAATATGCTAAAATTCTATGTTGTGTGGTGAGGTGAACCTTTTGTTGTAGCATCATACCTGGCTAACGTGTCATGCACACGTGAGGTCATCAGAGATAGTCGTTAGTGGCGCGCAAATAGTTCACATGCATACAAAGCTGTGGTCAATGGTAGAAGATGCATTCATCTAAAGCATTCACTACTTCAGCAAACATTTGTGATTTAAGTATTGACAAGTAGTATTATGAACAATTGTATGATACTCGCGATGATCCAAAAGTCTTGCTCTTCAAATAGATATAGTCGACAAAACAAGTATCTCCTATTTAAATGACCCACGTGATTTGTTTCAAAGCGTAAAGTTCACCGGAAGCCGCAACTCTATTATTCCCCCGCTATTCGCTCGAGTTAGATTACTAGAGAGAATTATTTTGTCGTCCTCATCCTTTGTTTTTGCTTCAATTTTTATTCAACAATCTTCCATCTGGGTAAATCAGGCAACATTTTAATGCCCGCGCATCGCACATCTACCTCCCATGTCCCTCACAGTGTGGCAAGACGAAACACAGCCCCTTCTATAAAACACCCATCTCCCCTTTCTTGCAATCTACCATCATTTGGCTTTGGACCAAAATTTGAAAAGAATTGACTTCGCATCTAGCAAATGCTTCCTCCGACAGGCCTCGAGCCCAATCTCAACTCGGTAACTGAAATTGTCGTCTCTACCGCTACATCTACCACGGCGGCCTTACTATCCCAAACTTCGTCAGCTTTTGCAACAGCTACTAATAATCCTACCAATATTGCAGACCATTCATCAAACATAGCGCCCGAAAATGGAGAATGTCGTCTACTTGGCCCCTTTGCTATTTTCGTGCAGGGTGCTCTGGGTCTTCTCGCACTCACGGCTTTAGTATTCAAAAGATGTCGCGAGAGACCTCAAAGACCAATGAAAATTTGGTTTTTTGACGTATCTAAACAAATTGTCGGAAGCATGCTTGTTCACGTGGCAAATCTAGCGATGAGCATGCTCAGCAGTGGCCAATTCAGTATCAAAGTGGATCCCAAGGTAGTGGGTACAACAGTGAAGAGAATATCTGACCCAAGTGAAGACTACAGTCCAAACCCGTGTAGTTTCTATCTTTTAAACCTGGCAATTGATGTAAGTTATTTAGCCCCATTAAATCTCTTGTCCGCTGCTTCTGATCTAACTTAATCCTTCAGACTACCATTGGGATACCGATTCTAATTTTTCTCCTTCATTTATTTACCCAATTGTTCCTTCGAACTTCTTTTGGCCAACCTCCTGAGTCGATTGAATCGGGTAATTATGGTTCGCCGGCAAATTCACGCTGGTGGCTTAAACAGTCACTTATTTACTTCATCGGGCTGTTGGGTATGAAAATATGCGTACTCACCGTATTTATCATACTTCCCTGGATCAGTCGAGTCGGCGACTGGGCACTTCGATGGACCGAAGGTAATGAAGTATTACAAGTTATTTTTGTAATGCTAGTATTTCCGCTCATAATGAATGCGACTCAGTATTACATTATCGATAGCTTCATAAAGAATAAGTCGTCTACGCAGCACGAGTTATTGCCTGGTTCTGAACCCGATGAAAATTTACACGCATGTGAGAATAACATCGAAATTAACTTCAGCGACAATGAAGAAGATCATTTGAAAGAGGAGCAAAAGCCTGTGGCATTGAAGAGGAAATAGGTTAAGCTATTGACCCTATTCTGTGCTAGTATGGCCAACTACGAGCAGGACTTGATTGAAAGGCGTTACAAATTCTTTAGCAGGTCAGCATGGATGTGGTATTCTTTGGGATTCATTATAGCGGGTTGGCGTTGGATGTTGTGAATGATAAATTTTTAAACGTATTACAAATTTATCGCAGCCTGGATACAAGATTTAACAAACTTTGAGTACTTGGGGAAACCCTTTGAATACCTGAAAAGTCACCTTTTGCGAAGATTATGCGGGTGTAGCTGGATATGATCCATTGTCTACCATACATGTAGTGACTGGGTGTTGTCCACCAGCCAAGATTTACTTCTTTCAAGCAAGTCAAATCGTCGTGAGCTAAACTAAGAGAACAAATATACATCAGAAGTATTGAGCAGATAAGAAGATGACTGTCAATCTTGAAATAAGTTGCTTTACATAAATCCGACGCTTTCCCCACATTAACACTGTTATTAATTTACTGTTTTTGCCGTGAGCCCGTCCCCGAGTCCTAGTTCTACGTGGGTTGTTACCGAGAAGCCTGGGAAGCCTGCAAATGCGTGTCTAGTTGCCTAAGCACACGCACAACGAAGTACAGCCCGTTGAAAGGGGCGTGTTCCAATATCTTCGTAGTTGGGCGATGGGAATGTGTCATCGAAGATAGCAGCGATAAGCATGCGGGCCAGAGACAGGGGAATGTTTTAGATCACCAGCTTGTGGCGCCTCACATTGCGAATCCCGACGCGTAGCAGATGGGGAAAAAGAAACTAGCACGATGCAACTCCGCCCCATGAGGAATTAAATCGAGCGATTGCTTCGGTTGTTCAATTCCTCACCCGTAATATCCCTTTGGTTAATCATGCTCCGCAAAGGCCTGAATTTGTCCGTCAGATTTGATTAGTAGTCAGTCATGAGAGATAAGGAAATCAGCCATGGTCCAGAACTACAAATACATGGTAGGATAGATTGTCCTTGGGTAGTTTAAATAAGTCATTCCTATTCATGATTTAAATTGCACGTCTTAGCAAATAAGCCCCCCTGTTACTCCCCGTGGTGCTTGAGCTTGACTAGATAACATGAACCAGCATTAAGAGCATAAACCTCGTCCAGTCTCGACGAACAGACTCCGATAAATTGCACAGATGCGACCAACGATGTCGCGTCAAATCGTCTGGAGAGCCTGGAATTCTGTCACCGGAGAGCGAGCTCTGTCACAACCCAAATAATTATGTCCCCGAACCCCTGGTACCCTCCCGCTCCCGACTTTGGCTCAATCTTCTAGCCCTAGCACCTTTCCATTGAGATCCCTGCCATAGTTTTTCATCATGGACTCTGTGTTTCTTGTCGTTTGTCATTTATGGCATTTCCTTCATTCGCCAGATAATCTCGCTAGAATTGTGAGTGGATAAGCCTTTTAGCCTTTAATCTTGCCCTGCCGAGGATCGTAAGGCGCAGATAATCGGGAGCAGGAGACGAGGTACGAGCGTCGTCTTACTGCTAGTTAGGGAAGATGGGATCATCGCTCGGGGCAATAGTACAGGATGTATATAGAGCGTAGTAGTCGATAAAGGAAAGGCTAGACAACCTTCTGCTTATTTTAGACTTCGATATTGATCACCCCGTGAATCTGATATCGTGAGTCCCGAGCGATAACAGTCTCTATTACTTACCCGTACCCACACTACTGCGACGGTAGCATAAGCGATCGTGGCCGAGTTTACGATGGGGGGGTTCAAAATCAAGGTACCTTTTCTCTGAATTATCTAATTGTTAAGCTGGAAACACGTTCTCATCTAATCGTTGGCAAGCCTTCAAAGGTTGAGCTATAGACGTGTGTGAGGCTGGTACGTCGGATATAAGATAATAGTCCACAGCATCAGCGGATAATTATACGTTGAATCTAACAATCGGCGATAATGTAGGCTTGAGATTTTTGCTAGTATTGATAGCTAGACAGAAGATGGCAGTGAGTGTTGTACAGCAAGTCAGGCCTGGGTATATCTGCGAAAAACAAAACAAGCCTGTAAGTTGTATCAATTGTATGCGTTCAGAGTATAGCCAGGCTTAAGCCCGTCTACAGTTGATGTTTGGAGGTGAAATTTCGGATTTTATTGATTCGAACAGTCGTGAGATCTCTGGATGTCATAATTTTAGCCACAAACCGGCACTTCTCCTCCCGACCGCTGTATCATCGAAAGTTATCAGACCAACTCTAAGACGACGCTAGGGCTCGGTCCTAAGGGATTGAGTGCGGTGGTTTGTATGTCGGTGATAATTCAGACTTGAAAGGGGGACGAAAACTCAACACCTGTCGGTAGTGTCCCCTACATAACACCGGCTCTCACTGTAGAGTCTGTAGAGTCGATATCGAGTAGCACCTTGATCCCCACGTCAATGATGATTCCCAATCGGTCTACACTATCTTCATCTTTCAGCATATTCTCCAGGAACTATTATTGTGAAGCTGACCACAATCAGAGTAGATGGCTGGTTCAAAACCCTACTCGTGATACAGTTACTTTTCTTTGTGGTGAGACCTAGAAGACACAATATTATTACGGGTAAATAGTGTATGGGTCACATATTTACCTGACTGTTAGAGATCATCAGTCGAGTGGGGAGTCTGTATGCAATATTGTGTTGAGTATAGTCACGTGACACTGGCCCACCGATATTAAACATGAGGCAGGAATATAATTCACTAGCTCCGTTTTTTTTTTTTTTGTTTGTGTTTATTGTGCTACTTGAGTCTATGACTATCTAGCACATTGGGCTCCTCTCTGACCCAGGCCACACCTTGTACAATGCTCCTACCCTCTTTTGTTATTTGAAAGATCATTGATATATTCCCCTTGATGAATAGCCATTCAGCTCAGTGTTTACCCGTGGAATTCGGCCACCTTTTCCACGGAACCTTCTACCCAAAAAAAATAAAAATGGTAGCAATGGAAACTGCGTGCGCGGGAAAAAGTCTCAAAAATCCTGCAGCCCCAGCCAGGCGAGGCCTAGACACCGGGACCACATGAGGTGCGCATATTCATCTATATCTCCCTTCTTTGTAACAGTCGAGGCCGACTTGATCCAATCCACCATCTCCGTATCGGGTGCTGGGTACGCTCCGGAATCTCATCGGATGGCTTTTCCTCCGTGATCAAGGTTTGGTGATGGTAGGGCCCCGAACCTACCATCTTATCTGATCGTGGTTAGCTTCATGATAATGGTGATAGGGGAATGTGTTGAGAGATGAAGACGACACAGACCGCGAAAGCGATTGGGAATCCTCTTCGAAGTGAGGACTTTGTTACTCAATCTCGGCTCTGCAGACTCTACAGTGAGAGCTGGAGGTTCGTAGGGGACACCGCTGACAGGTGTTGAGAATAGTCCCCCCACTCGCTCCGTTACGGACATGGTTTAAGGATACGAGTAGAAGACATTAGTATTGGCTCTACAGAGCTGAATCACTAGTGGGCTACAGATGTTGTATCTGAGATAAGAAACATGTATTGTAATTTCTTTAAGTGTTTTGATTTGATTTGTATTCATCATCCTGATCTGGAGCCCCACAGGCCCATGCAGGTGGCTATAAACCTATCTATATACTTACATAGGAGGAGCCGGCAGAGACGAATTCTTCACCTTCCATTGGTGCCGGTGTAATCGCTCAGTATGCTCTGCATATATGGGATAGCCAAGAAGAATCGCATCCAAATCGATGTCGAAAGCAAACACATGTATATCTCCATTTGACGACTTCTCAACTATGCAGCACTCATCATTATCTTCTGAGTCCTCAACCCATCTCTAACCACACATCATCTCGTCTCGCTGACCGATAAAGGCGTCACCCCAATTGCAAACAGGAGCTTGCCTCAATAATTACCGGCCATCACTCACTACAAATTTACGACGCTAAATATACCCGCAAGGAGGAAATTAAGTCATAATATACAAAGTTTGGGTCATGGTTTATGGGGGACTGTTGCTCTAATGGGGTTATGCATCTTGAGGAAGGACAGACGACTGAAATGTGGAGCGAGAGGGGAAAGAGGTCTCTGACGACTATGCTGGGACTGAAATTTCGAGGGGTTTTCAACCTTGGATTTTTTGTGGGCGCCAAGATCAATATTTCGGCTAATTAGCCAGGAGGGCTTCTTTTGTCGATAATCAACGGCACTCCCCAGCGCCCTGGACGGCACAAAAGATGCTAGGCTAAGCTACTATACAGCAATCACGCTCTGTCAAGACTTTTCTGGCATTTCAGCACGACCTTCGGGAAGGAGTTGGAAGGAGGCTAGAAAGTCAGAGAGGGAATTTCCCGAGGTACACACAAGTCTGCAGCGCCCAGCTGGCCGGCCTCTTCGAACGCTTCAGAAGGGGAAATATGTCTTCGGATTTATTCCTAATGTCGGTATTAGAAGAGCTCCGCACCCAGTGTTTTTTGCGATTTTTCCCGGCTGCTATACACTCACAAATGGCCCTCGTTTCGTTGGCTGGAGAGGGGAGATAATGAAGGGCTAAGGGCTCCTCTAAGTGTTTCATCGAATGAGGGCTTGTGAGGGGTGGTACTGTTTGAGGGGAGCTGTATGGGAGGCATAGGAGGGGATATGCTACTGGTATAGGTAATCTTGACCTGTTGGCAGGGAGGACCTGCATGTCCTACATAGTCATAGACTCAGACAGGACAATAAAATGAATTAATAATAATTAATAATAATACATAGGAGGAATCCTCTCGGTGAAAACCCCACAAGCTTTCTGATTTAATTCTTAGAGTTTGCAATTTGTCCTTCGGGAAGTACAGTTACACTGTAACGCCGTCGATGTGTACCAATCACGTCCCTTCTATCCATCCCAACCTTCCACATGTTCTCTCTCGTTCCCTGAGCAGCATTTCGACTGCATTTGTCAAGCGGAATTGTTCTATCCAACCATGATTAAGAATCCATCGTGTGATTCTTTTCATATCGCTAGGATTGTTGGTCATTGCTTCA